AGAAGTTTCTCAGTTCTTATCTTCTGCTTTAACGAGGAAGAAGAAAGAGAGTAGATTTCTTACCTCCTCTTCTTTTTCTGGGTTTAACTTTAAAGGGTTTCTTACTTATGGTGGAGATGGAGATTTTCTCGGCGGTTTAATTCGTTTTCTGGGTTTTTTCTTTTCCTTTTTTGAAGATCTAAACTTTAGATCTAGTGATTTGAAACCCACTCACTGAAAAAAAATCAAATCTTTACCAAAAATTTTCAAAGATGCAGAGACCACCTCCTGAAGATTTCTCCTTGAAGGAGACAAAACCATTTCTCGGTGGAGGCAAAATCACCGGAGATAAGCTCACGACCACCTATGACCTTGTCGAGCAAATGCAGTATCTCTATATTCGTGTCGTAAAGGCCAAAGATTTACCAGGTAAAGACTTAACCGGTAGCTGTGATCCTTACGTTGAAGTGAAGCTTGGTAACTACAAAGGTACAACAAGACATTTCGAGAAGAAATCGAATCCTGAATGGAATCAAGTTTTCGCCTTTTCTAAAGATAGGCTTCAAGCTTCTTTCCTTGAAGCTACTGTGAAAGATAAAGATGTTGTTAAAGATGATTTGATTGGTCGTGTTGTGTTTGATTTGAATGAGATTCCTAAGAGAGTACCTCCTGATAGTCCTTTAGCTCCACAATGGTATAGATTAGAAGATAGGAAAGGGGAAAAAGTTAGAGGAGAGCTTATGTTAGCTGTTTGGTTTGGTACTCAAGCTGATGAAGCTTTCCCTGAAGCTTGGCATTCAGATGCTGCAACTGTTAGTGGAACCGATGCTTTAGCTAATATCAGGTCTAAGGTTTATCTGTCTCCTAAGCTTTGGTATCTTAGGGTAAACGTTATCGAAGCTCAGGATTTGATACCGAGCGATAAAGGAAGATATCCTGAGGTTTATGTGAAGGTGATAATGGGGACTCAAGCATTGAGGACTAGAGTGTCACAAAGCAGGAGTCCTAACCCAATGTGGAATGAGGATTTGATGTTTGTTGTAGCTGAGCCGTTTGAAGAGCCTTTGATTCTAAGCGTGGAAGATCGAGTTGCGCCGAATAAAGATGAGGTCTTGGGGAGATGCGCGGTTCCGTTGCAGTATTTGGACAGGAGGTTTGATTATAAACCAGTGAACAGCAGGTGGTTTAACCTCGAGAAGCATGTTATCTTGGAAGGAGGAGAGAAGAAAGAGATCAAATTCGCCAGCAAGATTCACATGAGGATTTGTTTGGAAGGCGGGTATCATGTGCTCGATGAATCTACTCATTACAGTAGTGATCTTAGACCAACTGCAAAGCAACTGTGGAAGCCTAACATCGGTGTGCTTGAGCTAGGGATCCTGAATGCGACGGGTTTAATGCCTATGAAAGCTAAAGAAGGTAGGGGAACCACGGATGCGTATTGTGTGGCAAAGTATGGGCAGAAATGGATTAGAACTCGGACAATCATTGATAGCTTTACCCCGAGATGGAACGAGCAATATACTTGGGAGGTTTTTGATCCGTGTACTGTTCTTACTGTTGGTGTGTTTGATAACTGCCATCTACACGGTGCTGACAAGAACAATGGAGGAGGAGGAAAAGATTCAAGAATTGGGAAGGTAAGGATAAGGCTCTCTACTCTCGAGACTGATCGAGTCTACACACATTCATATCCTCTTTTGGTGTTACATCCTAGTGGAGTCAAGAAAATGGGAGAGATTCACTTAGCTGTGAGGTTTACTTGCTCTTCATTGCTCAACATGATGTACATGTATTCGCTACCTCTCTTACCAAAGATGCATTACCTTCACCCTCTCACTGTTAGCCAGCTCGATAACTTGAGGCATCAAGCGACTCAGATTGTGTCAACGAGGCTGACCCGAGCAGAACCACCGCTGAGGAAAGAAGTTGTTGAGTACATGCTTGATGTGGGTTCTCACATGTGGAGTATGCGTAGAAGCAAGGCGAATTTCTTCAGGATAATGGGAGTTTTGAGCGGGTTAATCGCGGTAGGGAAATGGTTTGAACAGATCTGCGTATGGAAGAATCCGATAACAACTGTTTTAATCCACGTTTTGTTCATCATCCTTGTTGTCTATCCCGAACTCATCTTACCCACCATTTTCCTCTACCTCTTCTTGATTGGAGTTTGGTACTACCGCTGGAGGCCGAGGCATCCTCCACACATGGACACACGTCTCTCACACGCTGACTCAGCTCACCCAGATGAGCTCGACGAGGAGTTCGACACTTTCCCTACTTCCCGACCAGCAGACATCGTCAGGATGAGATACGACAGGCTAAGGAGTATTGCAGGGAGGATTCAGACAGTGGTCGGTGATCTTGCAACTCAAGGAGAGAGATTCCAATCGTTGCTAAGCTGGCGTGATCCGCGTGCTACTGCTCTCTTCGTCTTGTTCTGTTTGATAGCTGCAGTGATTCTCTATGTAACTCCCTTTCAGGTCGTGGCTCTTCTCATTGGCTTGTATGTGCTTAGACACCCGAGGCTCCGATACAGGCTCCCATCTGTTCCACTCAACTTCTTCAGGAGGCTTCCGGCAAGGACTGATTGCATGCTCTGAGTCTCTTGCTTCTCTCTTAAAGATTTCTCCATTTCAATCTTGAATCCTGTGGTTTTATTTTGTTATCGTTTTAAGTCGCTTCGTCTGTTTGACATTATTAAGTTAAGACCTGTTTAAAACTCTGTTTTTTAATGTAGTAATGTGTGTGGTTTTTGCTGGTTAAGAAAAAAACAAGTGTCTGAATATTTCTTCAAGATTAAAACATAATGCTTAAGACCAAATCAAAATCCAAACTGGAAGAAACATAAATAGGAAAAACTAAGTTTTGAGTTTCAAACGTAACATTCAAAATTGATTAGAAATGAAATGAGGGATGCAAGAGAAGCAAAAAGACTATCTTCTTCATCACTGTGGCTTCCCATAAGCAGCCATTCTGCTAGGAGGAAGCTTCTTCTCTGCTTGACGTCGTCTTCTCTTTGCCTTTCTCGATAGTTTACTTGCCTCGCCTTCGCCTTCCTCAGCTGCTGAGGAAGCTGGTTCTGTTGTCACAACATCAACAACATCACTCTGT